GACTCGCCCAGCCCTCGAGGTCTGGCCTGCTCATGCCCCGCTCAGACGCCACTGGCATCAGCCGCCACCCTGCAATGCCAGAGAGGAGGCCAAGGGCTGAGACCCCGCTCCCACTCGACAAGCGCTGAGAAGCCCTTCCCATACAGATCGGGGAAGATGAAAACGTGGCTAGGCTTCTTCTGTTTTTTTTCCCAAAAGGGACCCCTCTCAGGTGCAAGGAACTCCCCACTGGCCTCCCGCCTAGGACCTGCCCTCTGAGCTCTCCCTGAGCCCCAGGTCCCCGATTTGGACAGGGAGCCGTCTTATCGAGCCCAGCGAGGACATGCAGTGGACAGCAGAACCTGGCCTCACTTCCCTCTTCCTTGCCACCCTTGACCGCAGAAATCAGGGGAAGCAGCCTACCTGATCCCCCACTACGCGCCATGGCATGGGGGTGGGCTTGGAGGGCAGAGCCCGTGCAGAGGTCTCCCTCCTGCCCCTGTGCGTGTGTCTGTTTGTGGACCCATTTGTGTGGGTGTGCGCGGCCTCTCCGTAGGTCTCGGGCCTGTGTCCCTCCACATCATTTCCCCCAGCTCCTTCTCCCGCAGCTTCCACCCTTCCTTGGGCACAGCGAACAGGGACAGGTGGCCGGGAGACGGCACGGGTGCTCTGTGACTTGGATGGACCTTGGGTGTGAGCAGCCCTTCTCCCAGGCATCTTGCCTACTGGGAAGTTTCAGCTCCATCCTGGGCATCCCAGGGCCTGTAATATGTGCCGTCCTACCCGGTCTCCATGACCTGGGTAGTGGCCCCTTTCTTACTCCGGAAGAAGCCCCAGATTCAAGAAATGAGGTCTCACCCTGACAGAGGGGAGCCACCTCCCTTTTCCCCCTTCCCCCCCAGCCCAGGTCTCCCTCCCTTTCTTCCACTTTAGAGAAGCAGACCTTGGTGTGAGGGGTGTGGCCAGGAGGTAAGGAAGCCAGCAGTGGCTCTGGATCTGCCTAGTGTGAAGAATGCCCTCCATGTCGGGCTGTCAGGCTAGGAGAGGTCAGTGGCTAGATGGCTGGCCTGGAGAGTCAGCAGGTGGGTCCGCAGAGCAGCTGGGGTGGCCAGCCCTTTCCTGTCTTGGCAGGGCAGGTCCTGAGAATAGGTCTGACAACCAGGTGATGGGCTGCTCTGTGGGCGCGGTGGCAGGTGTCTTTATCAGAGGTCAGGCCTGTCCTTGGGCCACTCACGCATGGATGGCATTGGCCACATCAGTAAACACCAGTCGGCTGGGCCTGTGCAGAGGGCCCGGGGAGGGGAGAGTGCTCTGGCCTGCATCTCAGCTGTGCTCCAGCAGCTCCTGCTCCGGTTTGTCTTGCTGCTCCACGGGGTCAAAGTGGTACGTAGGCACGAGCTGGCGGCATAGCTTCTCCAGCCCCTTCTTCCTGATGTACAAAACTATGGCCGCAATCTGGCCAATCTCAGTGATGATTCCAAAGGCTGAAGCACGGTGCCCGCACCAGCTGCACCACCGGCTGTGTCAGGGACTGTACCGTCACTGAAGCTTGTGGCTTCTGGGCTCAGGGTCTCAGAGGTGGGGCAGTCAGTGGTCGGCGCCAGGTCGGGCTCAGTGGTGAGTGGGCGGCTGCTAAATCAGCCCTGAGTAATGAGATTCGGGAATTCACCGATTCTGGGAGATGCCTGGGGTCAGCCTGCCCACTTACTTCTGACGTCAGGAGTGCCCAGCCCCCGTGGTGGCCTCCTGGATACCAGGAGCTCCAGTCACCCCAGTTGTTAACCCTCTCCGGAGCGCTGAGCTCAGTCAGAGAGGCCAGGGGTGGTGGTGAAGGGCGAGAGGCCAGGGCAAGATGGACATCCAGGCCCGGTGTGGGGGCGACAGGTCTGCCCAAGGTCCGCCCTCCCTGCGTGATCTGAGCCAGCGGCCGAGCACCGACAGCCGGCCTGGGTGGGTGGGCGGGGATGGGCCTCCGCGGGTTGGGCCGGGCCTGACAACCCTGTGGTACCCCAGAAGCGCTGGTACCCAGCCTCTTACCCTCCTAAAAATCTTTGATTAAATTGACCTATTTATTTGCATTATTTTGAAAATTGACAGCGTAAATCTTCAATCTTAGTTTATGTCCCCCTCTTGGGTTTTTGAGACAGTGTCTGGATATGTAGTTCAGACCGGCCTTGAACTCTGTAGCCCAGGCTGGCCTCAAACTGGCAGCAATCCTCCAGTCTCAGCCTACCGAGTGCTGGGATTACAGGCGTGTGTGCCTGGTCAATCTTAGTTTATCTTCTACAATATTGACTGTTCAAGTTTCTTTGCACTTCTAAATATGTAGTTAATTTCCAAGATACTTGGGATTTTATTGAGGGAGAATTTAGGGGGAATTCACACACTAACACCATTGAATCTTTCAAAATATAAAGCTGATATAGCACTTCACATATCAAGATTTTTATCTCAGCAATGTTTTATAGTTTTTCGGATAAATTTCTTACACACTCTTGTTAGATTTATTTGTATCTTACCTAGCTAATGTGTCTAACGCTGATAAAAATGCAGACTTTTAAGTTTCCCTTTAACTTTCTTGTTGCTAGTATGTTTACCATAATAGGTAATTTGAAGATTGGCTACGAAGTCAGCAGTGCACCACACTCCGTCAATAATTCCAATAGCTTTTTGTGTGTGTGTCTTTTTGAGACAAGGTCTCCCTATGCAATTCAGGCTGGCCTTGAACTCACGTCGTAGCCCAGGCTGGTCTTGAACTCGCAACGATCCTCCTGCCTCAGCCTCCCAGGTGCTGGGATTACAGGCGTGCGCTACCACGCCCAGCTTTCCGGTAACTTTTCAAATCTCCGTTTCATACATTCGTAAACAAGTCTTCCAATAACGAAGGCTTTACTTCTCAGTATCGATACTATTTTTTGTCTTTTTCCTACAGTCCCTGTCACATCCCCCACAAAGTTGAGCAGTAGAGAGAGTGAACACCCACTCAGTTCCAAATTCAGACCATTTATAGGTGTGGCACGGCGTTGCCGTGGAGACGGAGCGTCCCGCCTCCTCGCGCCTGGCGGTCTCTTACCAAGCCGTTCGGCCCCGCCCACCTCGCGCGTGGTCTGCGGGCCTCTCGCACCGCCGGCACGCGGCTGCCTCGGGCTTTGGCCCCCAGCCCCAAGTGCTATGAAGCGTCGAAACGCTCCTCCTTGCCTCAGACGATCGTTTTGTTTTTACGTTTACTCTCCTATTGTCACAAATTCCAAACCTAAAGAAATTAAACAGGTTTTTCACTCCTAAAATGGGTTCCTTTTAGCCCAGGTGTTTTAACTCTAAGCCGCTGCTCGCGGGAGTCCGCGGTCCTTGCAGCTGTCCTACCGCGGGCCACAGCCCCGCTGCAGCTCGAGGTTCCTGCCCTGAGAATCCAGAGGGTGTGTAACAGCGCGTAGAGGGAAGTTACCCAAAATTAGAAGCCTTCTCCCCGTCGGGGAATCGAACCCCGGTCTCCCGCGTGACAGGCGGGGATACTCACCACTATACTAACGAGGAACTGGCAAGCTAACGTCCCCAACGTCGTCTTATGAATGCTCCGCGCTCCGCCCGCGCTCCGCCCGCGCTCAGCCCGCTCGAGCCAAAAGGGGGCGCCCTCGGCTGGCCCCAGGTCTTCGAACCCCACTGAGTTGGGCGCGAGGGAAGCCTAGGCGCCCGAGTCCCGCGCAAAAGCACCGTAGTCGGCAGGACTCGAACCTGCGCGGGGAGACCCCAATGGATTTCTAGTCCATCGCCTTAACCACTCGGCCACGACTACCCAGCAAGCTGCAGCGGGCACCCGGGAAGCACGTGTCCCGCGCCCACGCGGCCGGCCAGAGTGGAGGAGACCCGGCGAAGGGCGCGCGTGGGACCAGGGCCCCGCGCAACGTCCAGGCCACGGGACCGCGCGTGCCCGCGGGCCGCCAAGGGCGGCCATCAGGGCGGTTGGCCCTGCTCCGCTTGGAAAGAGGAATAGGTCGTAAGAGGAGAAATCGCTTGGCCCTAAACAGAAGGAGGAAGGAACTCGAGAGAAGGAAGGCCGGGAGGGACGCAGAGCCGAGTTCGATTTTCCAAGCCGGCTCAGAAGCGATTCTAAGGATCGGGCCGGGAGGAAGTGGTGATTTTCGGGGAGCCGCTCTCTGGGACAGCGGGGACTCCAGGAATTATAATCTGCCGGGGAGAGTGTCGCCCGTGACCGACGCACGCCAGTGTTTGCAGTTTGGCACATGTGTTTAATCATCTACAGCTTATGTCGCTGCATTTGCCGGTTATTTTGAACTGCAGCCTTGAAGTTGCACACCAGAGAAACGTCAGAAACCTTCCACACTTACAAACTCAGCAGAATCGGTGCAAGTGATGTTTATGAGCTAAATTAGTCATCGACTGGTTGTTTGCTTCAGGGTGGCAATGGACAGGGACTGGCCACCGCTGCAATCTTGTTTGTTTAATTGGATTGAAACAAAAAACATGATGGAATGGATCTTGGTGAGAGTCAGAATTTAGTTGTAGGAAACAAAACCTTTCCAGTGACTACATTCGACCTAAATGGGAAACAAAGCTCCGCCTACCATGAAAGAGAACGAATTGTTCTGTTTTGCTCATGTGATGGAATGCAGGAGCAGGACAGGAGAAACAAGCGCTCACAGCCTCACGGAGCGAAGGCGGGGAAGCAAGCCTGAGAGCTGGGCCGAGGGACTTCCGGCCCTCACCCGGCCGGTGCTCGGCGGGGCTCCCCTCTGCTGCCGCTTTCTGCCGCGTCTTACTGTAAATAGCAACCGAGAACCAGGCTGCGCACTCATCTCCGCAGCTCGGCGTGCGGGGTCCTTTCCTACAGCTCTTCGCCACCCAACTACAGAACGCAATCCAGCCAGGGGCCCTGATCGTACGGTCTCTAATACCAGGTGCTTCGCTTGCTTCTGAGACCTTACCGCAAGACCTTAGCGTTCACATACTTTAACATGAATAGGCTGTGTGTATTGCACACTTAGGTTTCTAGAAAAATTGAGTGGAAAGTGCAGCATTGCAATACTTTCCCTCCCTCTCTTCTCCCCATTTTCTTCCCTGTTGCTAACACCCTGCATTAGTGCGGCGCACTTGTTAAAGTGCGCCAACCAGCATTAACTATAAGCTAATATTAGCTGAAGACCGCGGCTTACTTGCACCGGGGCTCGTGGTCCAGCTGGACCTGCTGTGGGCGTTGGCCGCCGGATGACCACAAACACCCTCCATTGCAGTATCGCAAGGAACTTCACTGCACTGCCCTGAGCACCCCGTGTTCCACCCATCCCTCCTTCCTCCTTCCCTCAAGCCCCTGGCAGTCACTGAGTTTTACTGTCTCTGTAGTTTGGCTTTTCTAGAATGTTAATAAGCGGAATCGCACAGTACATATCCTCTTTCCAATCGACTCCTTTCACCTAGTAACAAGCATTGAATGTTCCACCATGTCTTTTGCAGCTTGATAGCTTTTTTTTTTTTTTTTTTTGTACCTGGAATTGAACTCAGGACTTGGTGCTTGCCAGGCAGGCACTGCGCCACTGAGCTATATCCCCAGCCAGATAGCTTATTTCTGTTCCTTTCTGAGTAATAGCCCCTTGTTCATCTGTACCATAGTATATCTGTGTCTCAAAGGATGTGTTGCTGGTGTTTGTGCTAGGGGAACTACGAATAAACCTGCTATAAATATGTGTGTACATTTTGTGTGGTCATCAGTTTTCAGTACCTTTGGGTAAATGCCAAGGGGCAAAGTTGACATATCCTAGGTAAGAGTTTGTTTCCTTTTATAAGAAATTGTCATCCTGCCCTTCACAGTGGCTTCGCTATTTTGCATTTCCCCCAGCAGAAAGCCAGAGTTCCTATTGACCCACATCCTCAAGGGAATTTGGTGTCACCAGTGTACTGAATTTGGGGGACCCTGAAAAGTGTGCAGTGACCTCTTGTTGCTGTTTTAATTTGCATTTTCTTGGTGGCATATGGTGTGGAGCATCTTTCCATACGTTGATCTGTCATCTGGGTATCATCTTTGCTATGGTATCAAAGTTTTTTTTTCTTTTTGTATTTTTAGTTTTTGTCGTACTAGGGGTTGAACATAGGGCCTCATGCACACTAGGCAAGCACTCTAGGTCTGAACTGTATGCCCAGCCACAGCCTGTTTCTTAACTGGTTGTTGATTTTTAAGAATTCTTTTAATATTTGGTTTTATTTTTGGCACCAGGATCAAATCCAGGGCCTTGTACATGTTAAGCACAGGCTTTGCCACTGAGCTGCACTTCTAGCCTTGAGAGATCTTTTTGTATTGTGTGTACATTACTTTAGCACATCAGTGTTCCGCAGCCCAGGCTGTAGCTTTTTCATTCTCTTAACATTCATATTTTTCAAACCAATATTCTATGCATGAGCCTATGTTATTCTCTAAGCTGACTGAAGCTCTCTCACACTCCTCACCTTCATTTCAGCCACCACCAGAGCTGTCTTGGACGTCCACATCTCTACCTTCTTTTCAAGCCACGCTGGGCTTTTCAAAGTCACACACCTCGACATCCTCGCAGCTTTCTACTCCTCACCAAAGTCCAAAGTCACTTTCACATTTTTAGGTTCTTTGTACCAAATACCTGTGTTAGTTTCCTAGGGTTGCCATAACCCGTTCCCACAAACAGATATCCTGATCAAGCAAAGGAATTCGAAGAGGTGTTGTCTAGAATTATTTCAATTCTAAGACTTATTTCTGAGATCATTATGTATGGTCAATCACTTGCTGATACAAAATTCTTGGATGACAGACATTTCTCCCGAAATTCTGCAGTTATTTCATTGTTTCTCAGCTTCTAGTGTAACAAAAGGGACATAAAAGTATCTTTGAGCTTCCTGTTTTGTTTTGTTTTGCTGCTTGTATGGCTTTTTCCTCCCTCCTTGTCCTAAATTTTCTTTGACAGTGTGGGTGTAGTCCTCTCCGTCTCTCATGAAGTGTTTTACTATGCGGCTGTGTCGCAGGGAGTCCTGGAGATTGAGTGCTTAGGAACCAGATTACTAACATTCAAATCCTAGCTTCTCCCCTCTGCTGCCTATGTGACCTTGAGCAAGTCAGGCAATTTATTTGTGTCAGTTTCCTTAGAGGCGAAGTAGAAATAACAGAAGTATCTTCGGATTGGTTTGAGAATTCAGTTACTTTATGCTACGCACTTATGCCGGCACACAGTGTTACCTGACAACTTTTACCTGGTCTCTCTTTTGTGATGGACAATTCCTGTCTACGGCTTTCTTTTATTCTATTTCATCTTTTAACTCACGGACAATCTTTAAGTCTACCTTGTACAGGAACGATCGCGTTCCCGCAGCATCGACTGCGTTCTCCAGTGTGACTTTTATTAGTGCCGCTGTGCTCGCCGTTTTCTGTCCCTTCTCCGGCGTCCTCTTGCTACTCCCTGTCCCCTCGCAGCTCTCCTCCGTCCCGCTCGTGCCTCGCCCTCTTTGCCCACTGAGGACACCAAACTGCTCCCTGCGCGTCTCCAGTTCCTGCAATACTTCGTTTGTGGAATCTGCTTAGGGTTGTAAACATTGTCCCTCACCTTTACCTGTACGATGAAAAGGAGGAGTAACGACCTGCATTTTTAAAACAACAAAGCAGCAGAACACAAGCACAGCACAGGTCAGGTAAGGAGAGCGCGAGCACTCAACCCACGGTTCACACCCAGGAGCCGCGCACGGGCGGGCGGAAGTGGCTGACGGATGCGGCGCGACCTCGATGCCGCAGGGGCCTCTGGGAAATATAGTCCCGGGCTCTGCGCGGCGCATCCTGGGAACTGTAGTCCGCGCCCGTGGGGCGGTGCCTTGGCATGGCCGGAAGTGGCCGTGACACCTCCTGTGGGCGTGGACGGAGGCCGCGCTCGGACAGTCCAGCGGCTCGGCTCTGGTTAGGTTTGGCGACAGTCCCGGCTCGCAGGCCCGGAATCCGAGCGTGTAGATGGCTGTGGATGGTGGGGCGCTCACGGATCACCACAGCAACCGCTGGCCCTCCGGGCGCGTGACGTCACGCTCTCCCTGCGGCGCGTGACGCGGTGCTGCGGGAGGAAGCCGGGGGTCCGCGCAGGGGGCGCCTCTGGCCTCCCCGGGTGCGGGCGTCTCGCCCCGGCCCGCCGCGCGCTTTGTTCTTTGTTCTGAACTGGGCGAGGGTGGTGCCCGCCCGGCCTGCGCGACAGATACCTCCCGCGACGCGTGGCAACAGGTGTGCCTGCCGGTGTCGCCGCAGCGTCCCCGAGCGCGTCGCGGGCCTGGCCGGGCCGGGATGAGCGCCTGCCATGGAAGGTAGGGCGCGGCCGGGCGGGGGCCGTGGGGACCGTGGG